GCGGGTGGGGAGGAGGGGGGGGGGGCCGGATGGGTGGGGGGGGGGGCGGGGGGGGCAAATCCCACTCCCCAGGAACCCCCAGGTCTGGGGCAGGAACCTAAGGGGCCCTCACCCCTTCAACTGCCCCTTCCAGGACATTACCCCCCACCCCAGGGTGCTAGCACTCACTGGTAACCAACGGGGAAGAGGTGTCCATCACACTCTGACAGGTCTGTCAGCGTGCCCAGGCTGTCGATCTTGATGGAGCCTATGGGACAGCAGGGGTCAGGGGGGCTGGGAGATTGCACCCCGTAGAAACCAGGCTGTGGGGATGCAGCCAGCTCTAGGGAAAAGCAGCTGTGGGGGGACAGCTGTGTAACACAATGCGCTCAGCTCTGGGGTGCAACAATTGGGGGATTGTGTGGGTATAACATGGTGCAGCCTGCTCTGGGGTATGCAGCTGGAAATGGCCATGGGGAACATAGGAGAGGCAGTGCTGGATGCAGCTGGCTCTGGGGTGGAGCAAGGTTGGGGGAACAGGCAAGTGCAACATGATGCAGCCAGCTCTGGGGTGAGCAACTGGGGAACGGCCACATGGAATGGGGGTGGGGTGGGGATGACACAATACATGCAGCCAGCTCTGGGAGTGCAGTGGAGAATAATATGATGCGGCCAGTTCTGGGATGCGACAGCTGAGCATGGCCCTGTGAAATGGGGTGGGATGGTGCTGGATGCAGCCAGCTCTGGGGCATGGCAGCAGGGAGAACAGCCACGTATAACACCCTGCAACCAGCTCTGGGGTGTGTCAGCTCAAAGAAAGACTGTCTATAACATGATACAACTGGCTCTGGGGGGTGTCAGCTGGCACAATGACTATGTATAGCACGATGTGACCAGCTCTGGGGTGTCGGCTGGGACAATGACTGCATATAAAATGATATGACCAGCTCTGGGGGGTGCTCACCAATCATCATATTGACAGTGTCGGGTTCGAGGCCAACCGTGAACTTCCTCTTGAAGCTGATGCCTTCGAAGTCCACATAGACGCGGCGCAACACATCAAAGCCGTCCTCCGCTACAATCTCCTGGAAGGGTGGCAGGGGGGTCAGAACCCTCCAGCCCTGGGGGGGCCCAGCACCCTCCCCCAAAGGCCGAGGCCTGTAGCCA